TGTAACAATTCAGTGGCATTTGGTATATCACAGTGTTGGGCAACCATCACCTCTATCTAGTTCTAAAACGTTTTTATCACCCAAAAGGAAACCCTGTACCCATTAAACAGTGGTTCCCCATTCCTCTTCCTCCTAGCCCCTGGCCATCACTAATCTGCTTTGTTTGTATGGATTTGCTTATTATGAATATTTCATATGAATATAATCATATGTGGTCTTTTGTGACTGGCTTCTTTTACTAGGTATGTTTTTGAGGTTCATCACATTGTAGCATGTATCAGTATTTCATCCCATTTTTATGGCTGAATAATATTCTATCATAAGAATACACCACGCTTTGTTTATCCATTCATCCACCAATAGACACTTGGGTCGTTTCTTCCTTTTGACTACTGTAAATAGTGCTGTTATGAACATATGCATGTAAGTATTTGTTTGATTACTTGTCTTTAATTCTTTGGGGTGTATACCTAGGAGTGGATTTGCTGGTTCATAAGGTAATTCCATGTTTAACTTTTTGAGGAAGAAAACTGTATAAAGTTCTCCAGGTGATTCCATGCAAAGCTGGTGTTGAGAACCACTACTGTTGAAGGCAGACAAGGCCATAAGAATACATGGAATGCACGAGGGAGAAGACAGGGAGTGAGAATATGACAGGGTCAGAGGCAAAAGCTTCGAAACACATTTCAGAGGCTACCAGAAAAAGAGCCCATAGGGAGACATGTGACTAGAGAGAAGACAGAGGTGTCACAGAAACAGACAAGAATCCAAGGGGGAGCCATTGACACCAAATGCTTGAGGAGGACTCAAGAAAGAAACTGAGAATCTGCTGCATGTGGCAAGATGGCAGCTACTGGAGACTTGGGGTCTGCTAGCTTCACCAAGGGCCTGGTTCAAGAAGTTGGGGTGTACATGAGATGCAAAGAAGTAGAGGAGAGGCAAGTACTAGAATACACTCGAACTCATTATTGGCTCTTAAACGGCAAAGGCCATGTCTGGCCTCTATTCTCCCATGACACCTAGGAACGTACAATCCAAATATCAAGCCCGCAATAAAAATCTTATTGGACTAACCTGTTTATACCTCATCAAATAACGTGCCAGAGTCCCTGCCAAACAGAGCTGTAAGCTGCAGTCGAGGGCTGACTGCTAACTGTGCTGCTGCCCATATTAAGACATGGAAAATATCTGGGTGTAACAATGTCCAATTAGGAAAATTATCTCATTCTAATCTCAGCACACTATTGAACAAATTCTTACATTTTTCTCTTTTCACTGCCTAAAATACTGCTGTAGTTTAAAAGTATTGATCCATTTTTATATAACATTTGCCAGTCTCTGAATCGATACTAATGAGAGACAATGCTCATGACTGCACTGAAGAGTTATTTTCTGAAATAAATTATCTTCTTCTATGATTAGAGAAAAGGGTAACTTTTACAACTATTATATTTTAAAGATGAAAAGTGAGAGTTAAGGTCAACTTTACATTTGAAGTCACATATTAAATTTAACTTAGGTTTAAATTCTTAGTGACGAGTAAGAACTGAAGTGTACAAGTGCTTTTATTTTTTAAAGTATGTGTTAACTTTTTTTTTTTTTTTAATTTTAAATGTGATACCAGCCAAGAAATGTCTCCTGGAGCGGTAAGTGCTGCATTATCTGGATTCCTTTTCTCAATTAGTGCTTCTATTTTGTAGACAGTAACAGTATTTAATTTGAAATTTCCTCTTTCTGTGCCAAGTCCAGTTTGAACCCCTTCCTGGGAAGGCTTTAAGTGTACAGCTTTATGTGACACACAAAGCGCTCTGAAAACAGCCAGAGTAAGAAGGGGAAAAAGATGTTTTTCTTTAGTATCAAGCACCTGGCAGGAAAACAGCATGCAGGGCCTGGACGGCATTCCTGCCTCTCCCCTGAGAATCCGAACGGACTCGTTTTGATTTCCCTTTGAAAAACCATGAGGTTAGAGCACATTTGCTTTGATTTACAGTTTACCAGACTTTTCCGTGTTGTTTCTTGTTGTTCTGCTGCTGTTGCTCATTTCTGCTCCCTGACGGGTCAGAATGAGGGCTCCCTGACCAACGCAGCCATTGGCAGGGAGGGTGGCTTTCTCACCATGACTCCTGACTCTGGGTGGGACAGTAACAACCTCTGGGGTTGGGGACTTCACAGAAATCAGGTACCACATACACGGCCACTTCACAATGTAGGCACAAAGGGGAAAATATGAGAAAAAAGTACCTCCCACCACTCTTTCTACCCTTCTTGCCATTTGCCTGTGCCTTGTCTAAGATGCCCAAATGGAGTCCCGGAAAGAAAGCACAGAATGAGTTACTTAAAAAAGAGACCTTGTTAGGTATGACATCAAAACACAAGGGACAAAAAAAAAGAACAGACAAATTGGACTTCAGGATTAAAATCTTTGGTGCTGCAAACAATACCATCGAGACAGTGAAAACACAACCTATAGAATGGGAAAAAATATTTGTAAATCGTCTATCTGATAAGGTACTTGTATCCAGGGTATATGAAGAAATGTTACCAACCAATAATAATAATAATAATAAAATAATCCAATTTAAAAATGTTCAAAGGATTGAATAGACATTTGTCCAAGACACACAAATGACCAATCAGCACATAAAAAGATGCCCAACATCATTAACCATCAGAGAAATGAAAATCAAAACCATGGTGAGGTACCACTTCACACCCACTGAGCTAACCAATCAAAAAGAGAGATAATAACAAGTGTTATCATGGATGGAGAGAAAATGGAACACTCATACATTGCTGGTGGGAACATGAAAGGGTGTAGCCACTTTAAGAACCAGCATAACAATTCCTCAAAAGGTTAAGCACAGAGTCACTACCTGACCCCAGCACCTCCTCTCCTAGCTCTTTACCCATGAGAAATGAAAACACATGTCTACACAAAAACTTGTACAGAAATCTTCATAGCAGCATTACTCATAATAGTAAAAAAGTATAAACCATTCAAATGTTAATCAAAATAGATAATAGATAAATAGAATCCATATCCATACGATGGATTATTATTCAGCTATAAAAAGGAATGAAGTACTGATACACCCTATAACCTGGATGAAACTTATGCTAAGTGAAATAAATCAGTCAGGGAAAGACCACATCTTATGGGACTGCATTCATATGAAGTCCCGAATCAGTAAATCTATAGCGACAAGGAAGCACATTGGTGGTTGTTTAGTAGTTAGGGGTGGGGGTAGGGTTGGAGGGTGGGGATTGACTGATAATGGATAAGAGAGTTTCTTTTGGGGGTAAGCAAAATATTCTAAAATTGTTTGTAGTGATGATTACAAAACTGCATATACTAAAAGCCATTGAACTATAGACTTTAAATGGGCGAATTATATGGTATGTGAATTATACCTCAATAAGTTGTTTAAAAAGAGAGAGGGAGGCCATCATAAAAACAGAACCATGGTATTTTATTTCCAGATGCTCTGGTCATTCCTCACAATCCCAGGTCCCCTCATAGCTGCACAAGTTCCCTGACTTAAAAGGAACAAAGAGTTCTCAGTCATTGTTTCAAATACATCTGAATTTGTTCCTCACCCCCAGGGTCCTTGAACATCCTACAATCATGGCCACAAAAGCAACATTCCTTTCCACCACAGAAGCTCCAACGGTCAGCCACTCCAGCTCTCCTTGGCTTTTGGTGGCATGTTACAAACTAAGGGGATCAGGACAGCAGAATAAAATGACAGAGAATTATTGTTATGTGAAGATAGACAGTTCAGGGTTCTGGGTGGGAAGGTGTATTTGTGGGGAAAGGAGAACAGATTCTCTGGTCTCATGTAGAAGCCAGTGGTGGGGGATGGGCGGCAAGGTTGAGGAGACCTGGGAGAGACAACTGTCTTGCGGTGAGGGCAGTGGGTTATTGCTCAGGCTTGCTGAGTATCCCACACAGGGATGTGTGAGGTGTGGGTGGAGAGAAAGAGGAGCATGGCAGATGATGTCACTAGGGCCTTCTAAGGCAGAAACGGCAAAGCCATCTTATCAACACAACAACTGGTTATTCTAAAGGGGCCTTGCTCAAACCCACACCAGGTGTTCTTTAAAGACGGATGCAGTGAGGAAGTCAAAAGCATTCTGATAACTGGCTTCTGAGACAATATCAAAGAAAGCAATGTAAAACTAGAAAACAAGGTATAAAAGTGTGTAGCCATGCAACATACAAGAGCAGGCACGGATGAGATCATTAACCCAGTAATATGCGTTACAGAGCATTTAATCCTGTCCCAAGTACTATCTAAGCACGGTGCTTTCAGAAATGGAAAGCTCTCTTCTCACCTTTCAAGTTGTTTACTGAGCCATTGGGGTGGTGCCATTCAGCTCCCTAGTAGTTAATTTTCTTTATAATTCTGACTTTCAAATCTCTGTCAGAACTGGACCTCATATGGCCCAGTAGTCAGTGGGATGTAACAACGCCCACCCTAAAAACCTTCCCAGATTTCATGAAAAGCCAACAAAGCTTTCTGGTTAGATCTTAACACAAAAACTGGCATAGCAGGAACCTGGCCAATGCCCCTTGATGACTAAGAAGAAACACCCACGGTACTTCAGAAAAGAGGCACCAAAGTCCCCCAGGTCCTGGAAGTTGAGCTTGGCCACCAGAACCAAGGAACCAAGTAGATAATAGGTAGTAGGTAGTAGGACCTGTCTAATTTCCCACACCAACTTGAGGCAGAGGTTTTCCAGTTTATCCCCCATTGTGACTATGACTGGAGACTCTGGCTCTTTTTTAATCTTCTCAGAAGACAACAGACAAAACCAAAAATGTAGAAACCTGTGAAAACCACTAAACCACCTTCCATGAAATCTATGAACAGACAGTTAAATTTGTATTTTGGTTTTGCCTTTTTTACACAAGTTTACCCCTAGAATTCCTGCGCATTGACTTCTTATCTACAAACACAGGATACAGACATGTCAGAATATGAATCTCACATGCCCACCTGCAGCAGATGACGGCTTTACACGAGAGCGCCAAATCCAGGAAGCTCCTTCTGACCTCAAAGGACAGCGCGTACTTCAGGGTGTGGCCGTCGATGATGAGGGCCACGTCATTCTCCTTGCCCAACAAATTGCCAAGGTCAGTGCAGTGCTGAGTAATGGCTGCCCGTGTCGCCTGAAACAATAGTCGAGGAGAGGGGAGGTCACATTTTTGCATGTTTAATATATCAAAACCAAAACAGAAATCAAAAGTAAGTTCCTTGAGGTGAGAATGTTGCCGTTCCAATGTGAATATATAAACAGAGTTCAATTTGGTATAGTTATACATCAAAATGTCATGGGGCTGCTCTCTTTTATTTGTGAAACATCCCCATAGTGATATGTGCGTTTGATATTTATAATAACCCATCCTGGTTGCACTCTACAGTTAATCTAGAGCATCCAAATTCTTCTCCATCGGAACTTTAATTGCTAAGGTCCTTACCACTGTCTTTCTCCACCTCTCCCCCACCCCACCGCCCTTTATACTACATACACATTATTCTTGGTGCCACTAGAAACCCCATATAAACAAATGTGCTTTCCAGGAAAAAAAAATAATAATGCTGGAACTCAAATGGCAAACATTTCTTGGTTTGCATAAGGTAAATTTTACAGCATCCAAAAGATGTGAGGGGATATGAAAATAACACAAAAGATTAATTTCTAGTCTCTGCTGAGATCTTCAGATTAAACCATTTCTCTCCGTGTAACATCAAAGTAAGAAACAAACTGATTTTCTCTTCATGTTACAGAAAATATCTAATCAAATTAAACTGCCAGTACCTTTTAAAACATTACTACCAGGCTAAGTAAGTACCTTGCTGTGATGTCTACTATCAGATGGGATTAAAGCATAGAATCATGCTTAGGATTTTGTACATATCTCTGTTTTTACATCCAGTACAATTATATATTGTGTATGTATGTGTTCATATTATGTAACTATATACTGGTGTGCTTTTCCCACTAATTCGTAAGCTCAAAGAGGCCTGTGTCTCATGCGTCACTGTATTTCTCTCTCCTAACAAAATGTCTGGCATATGATAGGTATACAGCATATATTTGCTGAATAAATATATGTCACTTAAAAAATAAAAATTTAAAAATGATGTTCTGATCCTCCCAGTGAGTTTATGACTATGAATAAGATATCTGGTTCAAACATAAGAATGCAATTTTTGGTTCATAATAAAAAAAATCTGGTTTAAGTTAATCAGGGAAGTACAAAAGTCTGCTGAAATTATTTTGTCTGGACTACTATCCTTTGACTACTAAGTTACATTTACATGTAATTTATCATGTAATAACATAAATTACAGTCTTAAAAGAAATAATTCGAATGAACAGGAATTCTTCGAGCCCTCTTTAAATTGAGGATCAGCTACCATCAGGAAGTGAGAAACACACTCTATTGTCTTACTCCTCAGTTTTCATTTCTCAACAAGACACTGGCAATATCAGAAAGGCATATTTAAGGCACAACTGTGGTCTCAAGCCCTGTTCTGTGGTCGGATAGCCTGGGGTCTAATGCCAAGTTTTCACTTACTACCTCTCTGACCTTGGGCAAACTACTTAACCTCTTTAAATTGCAATTATCTCACATGTAAAATGGAGTTAAGAATATTGATCTGATAGCACTTTTGTTATGAATAAATGAGCTCAAATATGTAACCTGTTTAGTAGCACTGGGCTTGGCACACAGTAAGCACTCAATCAAGCCCATTCTTCCTCTGTGACTATCCACTAAGAATTTCCTATGTCAAGGGAAATACACACTTCTGATACTTCAGGCAGTGAAAAACTGCCATCACTGACAATGCCTTCTTTGTCAGCATAATAATAGAATAATTGATAGAATAGTGCTCTAAAGAATAAAAGTTCAATTGACTGCTACTAAAAAATAAAAGTAAACTTCATACTTTTATTCTTAATTGGTTGAGTAATTCTGAATCTCCAACAAAACATCTATGAAAACATCTCTGTTTACCTTATCTGCGCCAACAGCCTGCCCTTTAGAATTTGGGTGGAGAAAAGAAATTCCACCCACTTAGGGAGATCCTAGCTTGGCAGCCTGGGTGTGTTCACCAGGGAACTCAGGCAAGTCTGGGCAATTCTGGAGGGTGTGCTTGCCAAAGGTCGATGTGTGGTGGACAGAAAATCCTCCTGGGAAATATTTCACCAGGGGGATGAGTCAAGGTACACAGATTTGGTCCATGGACAACATGCTGATGCTGTTGCAGAGGCGCAGTCTAGCCCAGGGTCCTTTACTCCTATCGGCCTCCCCCATGGACTTATGAAGGGAAAGGCTAAGCAATTAAAAACCTGAGATGTGGACACCATTGAATGCGGCTTTTTTAAAAGGAGGGATAGCACATGTGAAGGTATGTAGAGATAGTAATATTACGAAGGGTACTTTCTCTACTTGGGTTATTTCTGGGGCATGTGTGGAATAGACTGGACACAGAAGGCTCTTCTCCCTCAGCTGGAGGAGGAGTAGGGAGGCCCCAAGTTTTGGCAGCTGACTACCTGTTGGTGTGTGAAGCTCTGGGGCATCACACAGGAGCGTGCCACCAGAATGAGCCTGAGCGCTGGGAATACGAGTGGCAGAAATGTGGTAACTGAGAAAACTATTGTATGTTCCTGAGACACACGCAATCACCCCTTACCCCCTAAAAATGTGTAGGGGAAGGACCAGAAAGGGAGCTGGAGTTTTAACAGAGGCAGGTGAAGACACAGAGTAACACGAATGGGTGCCCTTCCTGAGGGCCTCTCACTATGCCACAGCCCGCGGTGGCCTGGGAGGCATCTGCAATACCAAGTGGAAATATTTTCAAGTTGAACGATGAAAAGTGCTATAGACTGAATGTTTGTGTCCCTTCCAAATTCATAAGTTGAAATGCTAACCCTCATTGTGATGGTATTTAGAAGTGGGGTCTTTGGGAGGTGATTAGGATATGAGGGTGGAGCTCCCATGATGCAATTAGTGCCTTTATAAGAAGAGACAGGAGATCTTCTTCCTTCTCCCTCTTCCTCCCTTCCTCCCCCATCCCAACTCTAATCTTGTCCTCCAGCCACATGAGGACACAGCATAAAGGCAGCTGTCTGCAAATCAGGAAGAGAGACCTCACCAGATACTGGGTCTGCCAGCACCTTGACCTTAGACTTCCTGTTCTTCAGAACCATGACGAATAAATTTCTGTTGTTTCAGCCACCCAGTCTATGGCATTTTTGTTATAGCAGCCTGAGATGACTAAGACAAATGCAACAACTTGAGCCCCTGGCTTATGTGGCTGTATTCTTGGCATAATGGATACAGAGATGAAAAGCCATGGTTTAGACCACTGCAACACAAGGGCATGCAGTCATTGCTCAAGCAACTCCTGCTATGTTTACTGTCTGGAATAAGTCTTCTAACAGAATGTAGTAACTACAGAGACAGATACATGCACAGTATGGAACTCTGGAAGAGAAGACCACTAATGCATGGAGGGTGGGAGGCCAAGAGAAGGCCTCTGGGAGCCAAGGACGCCCGTGGGAGTGAATGATAACCCACTGGCTGTGTTGAACTGCAAACTGTAGAAGCATGGAAGTCATGCTTTCCACTTGCTGAGAGCACACAAACATGACCTAAGTTACACAACATCCAAAGAAATTTCACACTTGTAGTCTATCAACCAGGCATTTTCTCATACACTGCTAAGTATCACATTAACGAATAGTTTTCTCATACATATAATGAGTTCGATGAAGCAGTTACAAGAGTCAAACCTATTACAATCAATCAACCAAGATATAGTTATCTGAGTACCTTAGTTATTGGAGTACCTACTATGTTCCAATGGTGATTTAAAAAAAGCAATGCCAAGGAGACACATTCTACGTTATCTATTCCCATAAATCTTATGACACAATCAGGGTGGCAAATACAAGGTCAGATAATTAGGTTGGTGAACTTATTGAAACAATGTTGCTAATCTTTTTTGATACCAGAGGGTTTATTCATTATGAATTTGTACCAACTGGACAGTTAACTAAGTTTACTATTTGGAAATGCTGGAAAAGCTGCGTGAAAATGTTAGATGAAAACGACCTGAACTTTTTGCCAACAATTTGTGGCTCTTGCATCACGACAATGCACCAGCTCACATGGCACTGTCTGTGAGGGAGTTTTTAGCCAGTAAACAAATAACTGTATTGGAATATCTTCCCTACCCACTTGATCTGGCCCCCAATGACTTCTTTCTTTACCCGAAGATCAAGGAAATATTGAAAGGAAAACATTTGGATGACATTCAGGACATCAAGGGTAACACAACAACAGCTCTGATTGCCATTCCAGAAGAAGAGTTTTGAAGAAATAGCTTTGTAGGGTAGACTAGGCACTGGCATCAATGCATAGCTTCCCAAGGGGAGAACTTTGAAGATAACTGTAGTGATATTCAGCAATGAGGTATGTAGCACTTTTTCTAGGATGAGTTCGCGAACTTAATTGTCCGACCTCGTACACAAAATTAAGGATGAAATAATGAAAAAACTAGTATTCTACTTATGGGTAGATCCTATGCGTAGATATTACCACCATCATACCCTAGCCTGCTTTGGCTCATTTTTATGTTGGTTGGAATTATACTAAATTGTAAATTCAATGAAGGCAGAAACTCTCTTTGCCAACCCTGGATTATGCTAACCCATTGCAGGTGGCTCAATAAATATGCTGACTTCATAAGTCAATTGATGTGTCTAAGTCATGATTCTAAACATGAACTGGACTATCTTTAAGAGATCATTTACGGGTCTTGGAGATCATCTATTTGTCTGACCTCCTGGTGCATACATTTTGCATTACAACTTCCTTCAAAAGAACTGGCTCTTGATCCTTCTTTTTCCTTGACTCCTGGCCTTTTTTGCTTTCAACTTTCTCTGTTCCTCAGCTCCCTTCTTACCGGTTTTCCATCTCGTCCTTCCCTTGCTTCATCTGCTCAGAATCACACCTTTGCCCTTGAGATTGAAAACCTTTTCAACTACTAAAACCTCTCCAGATCCACCCTACTAATGCCTTGTCTCCAGCCTCTACTTTGGTTCTAATTCCTACACTTTCAATGCCCACTCAGCAATAATCGTTGATCAAACCCA